ACAACGTTTTTATTTTGTATGAAACTTTTACATAACTAAAAAATGAGATGGACAAAAAAAAACAAAACAAAACAATATAAAAATTTATAAAATATGAACATATATATATCTATCTACCTGACATATTGCCGAATAGATACTTGCACCAGAGTACTGGGTGTGTTACACCCTGGGCAACTGTGGGGACGATTGTTGGGTCTGGGGAGATCGCGCAGAATCTGCGCACATTGTTGGCAGCATACCACCTGCTTACAGGCTTCTGCCATATATGATACTTTGCTATCTTCGCATACCATGCAACTCCAATCATAGGGATCCAAGGGATCATCAGCGATATCAGCGCCTTGCTCACCTTTCGGCTGAATATAGATTCTGTCCAGCTGTACAGCAGGCGTGTTGCATGCTGTGCAAGACATGACCTCTTGAGTTCTAAGAACTTCAGCACAGACTGAACATATGATGACACAGTTGCATGGTTTGAACACCATGTTTATAGGCCTTTCGTTACAGACAAGGCCACGCCAATTGTAACGAAATGGTTGCTCAAGCAACTCCCCCCCCGCTTCAATGGCCAGGTCTGCTTCTGGTTGGAATGGTGGATACTCTTCAAGTTCCATATCTGGCCTATCCTCTGCCTCCTCAGCCAGCAAGTTCCGATAATTGTCAAAATTCAGTTCGACAAACAGATTTTGAGGACCAATTACTGGTATTTGCTGGAAATAATCTTCACCTGAAAAAATTATATTTGTTTTACAGTGGACAGATTTAAAATGAAAATGAACGAATAAATAAATGCATGCAAAAATCCGCCAATAAACCACTAGAAATCTTTGAAGATTTTTAAAAAACTTCGGTGTGAATCATTTGATTTGTTGTTACCGATCAGATTAAAGTTAACGTTAATCATTGAACCATAAAATGGGCAATCATATAAGTGTAATCACCTGGAACGGCTGGCCTTTCCACCACATCAAAATGACCATTTAGATAGTCCTCATTAAAAAGAAGAAAAGCGAAATGCTCGGACAAAAACTGCGGTCCGAAATTGACGAATCTGGATGGTGAAACACGTCCATCTTCTAACAGCCGCCAGAGTCTTCTCAAGCTACCCAATGGTACCAATGAGTTGGGTTTTAAGCTCATCGTGATGTTTGGCCGACGGGCTTGTTCAGCTCTTGGGTTCATGACTTTTCGTAAGTCTTTGTGGGACTCGTTGGCCATCTCCAACATTCCGCCTTCATAATTATAATATAAGTAATATAAGTAAGTATAATATAAGTTATTATAATATAGGTAAGTACAAATTATTTAAATTGCTTCATTTTTTTTTATTAATCATAGGATTAGGAACCCAAAGAAGAAAATTTCTTGTGATTGGTATTGATATTAATATATTATTACTTACGATGGAAATTCCACAATCTCGGTTGATTCCCCTTCAATTTTTGCTCGAGGCGTCCCGCCATCTGCAACTCAATTCGGCTAATACTGACTTGGTCACGATACAAACTCATATTTTCCGGAGTTAATCCCAGAATTAATTGATTTCGATACCATATTAATAATGGTAGGAAAAGCTGGAGCATCTCGGCATCCATTTGCTGCCAGATATAATCGAAGGCTCGAATAATATGATCTGCTGGTTCAAGGCAGATCATCATTAGCTTTTTTATAATGATTTTATGGAAATCGACATGCAAATTAATCCCGGATCTTGAGGCATGATGCAGAATGGACAGGCAGTGTTGGTAAAACGTTGTTTTCATGTTCACGCCATTCCAGGTAGCTGATACTGCTGAGCGTATCCTCCAATCTAAATTTGTGGTGATCTGGTCTATCAAAACTCCCGGCAGGGCATGTTGGTGAAAATGGCTCACAACAGCTGTGCAAACCTCCTCATTAAAAGCAGAGCTGAGACCCCAGCCAAAAGGAAACCCATATCCATGATGTTCGGCGATTAAGCAAATAATGTTGTTAGTGTTTCCTATCCTTGGTTGGAATTGGCTCAGACTCATAATATGGAGTCTGATTGGGTACTTCAGCAATGAATGCGGCATCCAACAGTATTACAGTGGAATCCCCATCATTAGCTCTAATATGAGCAATATTGAGCCTTCCGCTCTCATGCCTCAGAAGACTTCTATTTTGCTCCAACTGCAACAATTGTGAATACTCCTCGTACGTTTGTGGTTCACCAATTCTGGGCACTTTGTGGTGCCAGGATTCCATCAACGATTTCACTCGGTGATATGGAATCCTTTGACGTATCTCACCGTAGCTGTGGATAGTCAAACAGAATAATCATTAAACATGGGAAAAATAAAGGAGTTCACGAAAACTCATGGAAGGAAATTTCAATAGTTACTGCAACTGACAAAATTGTCATTTGATTGAAGCCAAATCAATCATTGGGCAAGAATCGAGTATTCAAGGCAAATCAATTAATTGAAGTCCACAACAAATAAAAAAGCCCTTGCTCGTTTAATATAAGGGATATGAAAGAAAGATCATGAAATTAAGAAAAATTATAGTGATCGGGCCATGACGAACTGTTGGTTATTTTGTAGATTGTTTAATATTTTATTTCGAATTTCAAAATTTTCAATTTTTCATTATTAAAACTTCCACATTTTAAATTAAATTCAGAAGTTCCTGTAACAGCTTTCAGTGATATTGGAAATTTGGTATTTCCTCAATTTCCGGAGATATTCATTAAAAAATCAATCAACGCTTACCGAATTGCAACCTCATCATATAGGATCCTTGGTGGACGGAAATCCATGAAAGCAGCTTTCTGAAGGTCTTTCAAAAATCTTTCATCGGCTAATAGTTCTGCACGTGGCTCATCCTTAGGTCGAGGTGAATTCTGGTTGAAGTGGAAGCTCCACTCCTCGTGTTTGACGTAGCCACGGGCTAGACAAGGGGCTGTGAAGCGGTATGCACAGTGGAGGTACGTGCGGGATAATTTCAATTTTTACTAGATAATTGTTTTGTCACGTAATGAAATGAAAAAAATTATTGTCCCACTACTTTTGATATTTTCGCGAGTATCAAACGAGCAATTGTTACCAATAAATAAACTAAACTTTTGTTTCGATGAAATTCCCCACAATTTTTTTTAAATTAGGTGTTTTTCATTATTATTTGATTTCACTAGACATGTTATTTTTCAATAGACCTACGTTTTTTCTGTCATCTTCTTGCTCACATGATAGCGGTGACCGTTGAAAAAATATTCGAGTTGATCTTCTCGATCAGGCCTATGAGACCGATTCGATAATCTCAACATCTTCAGATCAACTGCTAAAGAACCAAATCGACACTAAAGCAATTTCCAAAGTTATTGCCATGAATACCCCTACATACCCCCAATAACTGGCGCTTGGTTAAATATCATTGGTTCATTTAGAACCAATCGCAAAATTTCTGGAGAATTGGTTGATAAAGGAAGAAGAGCCGAAGACGTGTTTTTTGTTTTGACTCTATTTTGCTTCTCGCCGTAAATCAGACAGAATATGACACCCGAGGCCGTGCGCGACAAACACATAATGCCTACAAAGCCTATCCAACATGGATTACCCTATTTGTTCATATTTCAATTCTTCGAAATTAATATTCGTATTTATTGATCTACTACCATCTATATACAGGAAGGAGGGGGCGAAATAGACAGTTTTTTTGTAGTAATCACTTTTATGAAGTTTTTAATGGTGGAGAAGTTACTTTAATAAATCGATTTGGATATAATATAATATAATAAAACATAAGCTCTGAAATCGCGCGACAATGATATTACGGATAGGTGCTACGTTGGAGGACAGTCAAAGGAGTGTGCATTCACCCTGTGTGGTCCTTGTTTTTGGGCCCCGCGTCACTAGGGGATGTCAAGCCTCGTCCTTTCCTGTCGGGTCTCGGTTTTTCCTGGTCCCCGACTCAACGCAAATTTTCCCCGCTTTATTTTACCTGACAAAAAAGTTTAGTTCAATTTAGGCTCGTCACAAGAGGAAAATTAAAATTTTGCAAACATTTACATTTGGTCATCCCATGTTTTAGAGAGAGAGAGAGGGGGGGGATGCAATTTGTTTAACTTCAGAATTTATATTTTAGGTTAAAAAGATAAAATTTAAACAAAAGATGAGGTTCTATAGATACTCCAACCGCGCCTTAAACAAAAAAAAACCGCGGTTATAATGACGGCGCAGGCAAAAATCGTGGAGATTGCAGTCTCCAAGCACCCGCTCGCCACTTAAAAAGTAAGCGCTCCTCCCCTACTTAATATTACGCGATGAACCCAATGGCATTGATTGTCATCGACCGTCGTCGGTTTCATCCCTTAATATTAATTGGGAAATAACGTATTCATTTTTATGTGGCGGGTTTTTTTTTATCCAGATTTAAGGGATGGAATGGGTGTCAATAGTTGCGGAATTCAATCCTCCGCCGCAGACAGTTTGTTTCATCTTTCAATATTAGTTAGAAGAGAAGAGATGAACTTTAATTGGCGGACGGATTAGTCGGAGACTACTCAGTGCCTTAATGGCTGGAGGCCACATTTCCCGATTTTTAAGTATGGATAAACCAAGAGCGGAGGAAACTTAATGCGTCAACTCAGATAAAGGTTCGAAAATGCAAACCTCAGTGTATGTTACTTTTGAAAATTTAGGTAGGTGATAGGTAGATAAAACAGATTTGTATGTCAGTTATCGACTGCATCGTTATCCTAAATGACTTGCCTTGCAGGTAATGTATCAACTGATTCAGCTTTCGATATAGAACTTGGGTAGGTGTTTACTTCCTATGCTCGAAATCTGCTTTAAACATCCAATGGATGGCAGGACGATGGATAAAGTGGATAAATAATGGGCATAAATTTATACTGTTTAAATTCAATGTATAGATAAATGTATCAGAGATTATAGGGGAGAAAAAGAAGACCTGGACATCAGTCCAAAATAGCCGCAACCACCAAAAGTTAACATCACTGAACCCAGTATATTTGAAGGAAGTGTAGATCCAAACAATTATGCTATGGCTGCACGCGACAGCCGCATAACAAACCGATCGCTCATTCTCATAGACGGGTACCGGTTTCGAGTGAAGTCGAAGCGATTAACAACCGAGTAAGTTATCTATATTGTCTTGTTAAGAATACCTTATTATGTACACTACACTTTCCATTCATTGGCTGAATTTTTTAAGGTGTGATATACTTATATTATTCCATCTACCTACTTCCATTGGTTAGACAATAGAAATATGCCTAAAATTCACGAACAAGTTATTTTTGATGAATGTCCATTTTACTACAGGGGCTCTTATATATTCTAATTTATCTCGAATTACTGCAAAAATGGGAAAACAAAACTTTTTTGTGGACTACTCCCATAAGTGCTGTGTCGATAACTCATAAAATCATGGTTGATCAATAGATACATCCAATGCTGTGGCTGCGAGGGTCTTATTTGCAACGTGAGTGGAAAAATTAATGAGAATGGCCAGTGGGAATTATCGGGAGATCATCATCATCCTCCACCGGCAAATGAGATCAAGAAGGATGCATTTAAGGACCGTCTGTGGCGCAATGTCGTGACGTCGCAAGAAAATATCCGCCACATTTATGACAGTACTGCTGAAGAGTGAGTTTTCATTAAGAATTAATAAACGAAGTAAAATGTAACAAAAAGTAGAGTAATTGATCACTCATTCAATCCTTAAGGTATTTATGGCGGGGTCCGGGGGTGTAGAAAAAAAGGCAAGAAATTGATGGTAATTTCTTCGTATGCCCTTTGATTTTTTCAAAACCCCCATGCAAAATCCCAGATAGCCTAGCAGAATGGGTGCAACGCAGGAGTTTTTATTAAAAATGCAATTTAACACGGGCTCTTATGGAAATTCAGGAAAAAAATTATGTTGAGCAGAAGAAAGTGAAACTTTTCCTGAAACTTTGCACTTACATCGAGTTTTTATACAGTGTGTCCCAAAACCCAACGTCCAAACTTCAAGCCTAAGTTGAGGAAGAAATTCTGGATCGAAATGTTCTCAGCAACTTAACAAATTAACATTGACAGGCAAAATGGTTATCAATCGATGTGGAATTTAATCCGCCATTGACCGCTCTTAATTTCATCCTTTAACATTGATTAGGGGAGGAGTTGCTCAGGACTTTTCGATTCAGAATTCCTCCCTCAACTTTGGGTTGAAGTTTGGACGTTGGGTTTTGGGACACCCTGTAGCGGAACATTAAAAAAAATAATTGAGGGGGTCTAGGAGAATTGTTTAAATACAATAAAGGAAAAACCCACGGAAAATGCAAATTCTGCGCGCCCAACTTGGAATCACGACAACACTGTAGTTTTCAGCATTCAAGTGGGGGGCGCGCGAAATACAAATCCTTCTGACGATACAATCACGGGTTTAAAAATATTCGTAATTCAAAATATCAGTAGAAAATTTTTATTAAAGCTTAACGGCAATTTTATTAACCTAAAATAAATTTCATACTTTATTCCTATTGAAAATTATGCAACTTCTCCAGGCGTTAAAAAAAAATATGTGTCCCAATGGAAAACGCATGAAAATGTTGATTTCTCCTATAATTTATCATTTTTTTTCTAAATTCTGTACAAGATTCTTCATCATTAAAAATAGAAAAAAAACATCCGGATAAAGAGGAAAAATATCAATTGTGGCTGGAATCGAACCCAGGCGATCCGCTTCTCAGCACAGCACGCTGCCTATCAGCCAAGACGCCTATTTAAAAATGAACAATCCGATCTATATATTAATTCCTAATGATTAACCCTTAGGGAAGTCATACCTTTCATTAACTTACTTTCTCACCGAAAGTGTGAAGGTTCTTAACAGTCTTCTACCCAGTCGTTTTATTTTTAAAGACGGCATCTTTTCACCGCCTAACCTGTTTTTTCAAAAAAAACATAGCTCCTCCCGTAATTAATATGAAGGGGTGAAACGAGAGACATTCGCTGGGCAACTATATTCTCCATCGATTCACACTCATTGCATCCCTTAATCATAATTATTTTTAAAGATAAATAGTCGGCCACCTACCGTGACGATCTCAAATCGTAGAGACGTTAGTCTCCAGTCGCGGACTCGCCATTCATAAAACCATAGCTTCTTCCCCAACTAATAATAAGGGATGAAACCACAAGCATTCGCTAAAGAATTAAATTTCCCATCGATTGACACCCAATGCATCCCTTACTCACTTCAAAGTTCTTTAAAGTATACGTATCGCAGGATGGAGGGACAATATTAGGACAGCATGGCTACTGTATTTTACAGCAAATTCTCGGGAACTGCATCCCTCATCTCCCAATCGTCAGCAGATGCTGGAAATTATTTCCGAAGTCTACTGATTTTTTTTAAGACAGTGACGCCCTGGTTGTTGATATTATAATGATTATGCATGTTTTCAATAGATTCACAGTAAATTTAGATCAATGTAAAATAATTCAAAAAGTAATTTTTTTATTTCGAAAGCAACTCTCGTATTGGATTGATTTTTAGATTCCCTAATTTCAATTGCAAGTGGCCTAGAATTTTAACGTGAATTTAAACGTGACAAAACGACGTTTTTAGAGCATGGCTCTATACCATGCATGGCTTTCGTATACCCCGAAAAATCCGAATTGTATAAGACTGATTTTTAGATTATTCAAGATGAATACGGTCAAATAGATGCACACAAGCCTGGATCTGCTACTCATGATAGCTATTATTAAGCTTCACATTGACGCACTATTTGAAGTCGATCAGTTTAGTTTTTCCTGCGATACAAGAACTTCTTTATATTGCGTTTTTTCTCAATATCTCGAATACTACTGCACGGATGGCGCTTTTTATCTTATGAAAATTTTATCTGTGTAATAGGGATCTGCAAAGTGCAATCTTGGTGCCGTTTGCATCCGTCCAAAGGAGTATGGCAAGATGGAGACAGCAAACTCGGCCACCGATTCCATCAACATTGTTCGAATATGCGACGCTACTTAATAACGACCAATGGAAAAGATTCCGGATGTATAACGGTGGCACATTAACAGTTCGAACAGCTGTCATAGACAATCAAACTTCGGTGACTGTCTTATGTGATCCAGCATTTTTAGCATCACTTCAGATAAATGAGCTGTACATTGATGCGACGTTTAAAATTTGCCCTCTTACGCCGAAGATACATCAATTATTAACAATTATGGGTCAAATAGATGACGTGGTAAGGATTGACCGCTTTTTTTTTCTCTTCACTTGTTTTTTGAATGATGCGAATGCCACCATTTTGTTTAATAAAATACAACCTGTTGCGTGTGCGATTGAAAGACACATCGATTACACTCTTTTATTTTTCAGTTTTTCCAATTTTTAGCAGAATGATATTAATTGAATTTCATTCTATTACAATTTTTTCGTGATTTTTGCTGACTCAAATGATAATATTAATTTCATTGTAATTTTCAATTGTGTCAGTAGGAATTGCATCTAATATGACCGTCAACAAATTTCTCATCTACAGCAAAAATTCCATAAAATATTTTTTTTATGACAATGAATTATCATATTTTCATAAAAGTTCGAATTACAGGACTCATCCTGATATCTGAAAGTTTTCTACTCGAAGATATAACGATTTTAGCCTTGATCAAGACAAATGGCATGTAGCACTATTTAAATTCTTTTTTATAAATCTATATTATAACACTACTAAGAATACTTTCTGTTCGCGAAGGCCATACCCATTGTTTGGGCACTGATGACAAGAAAAACGGAGCAAGCATATTTATCTGTACTCCAGATATTTAATGAATTGGCACCTCACATACACGCAGCTATTGTACATCAGGATTTTGAAGTAGCTTTGAAAAATGCAGTAAGGATGATATTCCCAAATGCAGCCATTATCCATTGTTTTTTTCATTACTGTCAAGTAAGTCACAGAATAGATTTAACAAAACCGACAAAATAAATCCTTTTACTATATTTTAAATGGGAAAAACTCACGAAATGGTCTCTGAAATATTAGAATTTATTAGAAATTTATCAAAATCGGACAGGATAGATACTCCGCTGGTCTGTCCCGCGTTTCCGCTCGAACCTGTTGCTCGTGGTGAGGACTTGTCCAGCCGGTGGCAGCTCGCGCGGCCAGGTCCTGTATGAATTTATGTTCTCCCAGTCGCGGCGTGTTCTCTATTTTCATTTTTCTGACATCCTTCTTTATGTCTGTATCTGTTCTTGATAATTAATTGTTTTAATCGGAATTTTAACTGAACTGTAATTTTTCTGCGGGGCTTTACGAGAAAGAGATTTCTACGAGATTTTGGGGGAACCGGCCTTAGTCCCGTTTCCGCGGGAAATGAGGTAGCCATCAGGTAGGGGCCCCCTCCCGATAGGGACTGAGGGTCTTCGAACTAAAACTAATCTTAAATTGATTCTGAACTATAACTAATCCTAAATTTTCTTGAACCGTAAAGCTCTGGCAATCTATGCAAACGAGTGAGCTGATTCTCGTTTACATGCCCTTCGAACTGTACTAAACTGAACATTCACCAATCCTCTCGCTACTGAGCGAACGCGGATAGCTGTTCCATCAAATAAACAAAAAAACGTTTCCAAGGGGCCGGGGCGGAAGCACGGAATTTTGGCTAGTTTTCCACGGTGCTTCCTCAACCCTCAACCCAATTACACGTAGTCGAATCTCAATTAATAACTAAAAGGGAAATTGAAGGGTATTCGCAATCAAATCTGGACACCACGAGTCTGGGAGAATCTTAATGCTGTCTAATCACCCTACATGACTAGAGGTGACGAATTCGCCTGGAATTTTGTCACAGCATATTGAATATGTTCTCTATTTACTCATCTTTGCAGGCAATGTTAAGAGCATTAAAAAAAAAAAAGACTGAAGCTGAAATGGCTTATCTTAATACCTGGAATATTGGACAAATTTTTTTTCGGACATTAGTAGCACTTGCATTAGTTCCACCTGATGATATCCAGCCAGCTTTTCAGTGGATAATTGCGAATACCGCTAATGATGTAAAAGAATTTTATGCCAGCTTTCTGCGGTATTACCAAAGCTGGTGGTTAACGCGTGTGCGACCGGAGCATTTTTCAGTATTTGGTCATCAGCGACGGACCAATAATGTAGTTGAAGCCTATCATCGCATACTAAACGAACATCTGGGAGAACATGTACGCATCTGGAAGTTTACAAGTAGGTAGCCAACACTAGTTTCTTTTACATTATTCTTTTGGCACGATTTGCATTTGAATGGGTGTTATCCAAACTTATTTGACATGGTACCAAACTAAAGTAAAAGTAAAATTTGAACTAAGAAAGTTCACATTTTCAAGCAAAAATCGGTGTCCACCTTTAACATCGTTTTAGGGGCATATCGACTCCTCATTTGTAATTGAAATTTAATACTTTTATTTCTTTTACGGACTTTGCGGGCTTCAATTCCCTTTACATTCGAAATTTTTACATACTATTTCTTACATCACTATCCTAATGATAAACTTGAAAATATTCATACAATATATATACAAATCTCTCTACCATCTAATCTAGCCAGGGGCCTCCATTTCCGTGTTGATTTTTTTCAATTAACATCCCCTTCGATCCCTTCTGGGCCGTTTCCATCCCCCTCCTACCCGAACACTACCTTTAAACCTTCCAACTTCACCCACTCATTCCTCTACCACTTTCATGCATTATTTCACATATACTCTATGCATTGTCGACCTATCCCTATCCTCTTCTGCACCCACACCCACCTCCAAAGCGTGTTCCCATGACTCCTCACTATACCCATATATACTACACAGTCCCACATTCTCTTCCCTGCAATACTTCACACCTTTCATACCTTCACCCATCCTACACGGAGAGAAGTATTCAATAAAAATTACGTGCCTGTTCCGTAATCTGTGAAGCAAAACAACATACTGTAAAAATTACGGAACAGTCATGCACTTTTTCACTGAACTTTCCGTACTTTGTCCTAAAAGTGCGTAACTGTTCCGTAATTTTTATTGAATATTGTTTTAACTCACAGATTACGGAACAGGCATGTAATTTTTATTGACTATTTCTTTCCGTTTAAATTAAAACATTTTCTGTCATTTTCTTTACTTCCTCAAACACTCCAGGTACTTCGGAATTTCGTCGGTACTCCTGTACAATTTATACCATTTAGTGTACCTAGAGCCCATGATTAGTTCCCATCTTTCCTTTATCACCTCTTTCTTCATTCTTTCTTCTATAGCAACCCAATCATCCCATTCATCTATTCTCCATTCGTTCCTTGTGTCCAGATTTTCGTCCAGCGTAGAACACCGGGGTGAGGCAGTGCAGCTTCTAAAGTTTCTATAACATAATTATATGCTTTAGGAGAGTAGAAATGAACAGGAAAAGCAAAGCACCTTAATTGTGGAAATCATTTCTCTTTTGACAGTTTCTGTTGTGCAACATTGGCATGCATACGTTTGAAAAGCTTAGAAGAAATATTACCAAAACCATCACGACTGTACAAACCATCTTCTTGTAAGTAGTTGGTCTTTTTAAGGGTAGTCACAACATCTTTCAGGGTCCTACTTTTTTTTCCATAGCGTTGATTTTGATCATGCAATTTTCTCTTTTTGACAATTGGTCTATTTTCAAGCGGGTAGAGTTGAGTTTACGCTGGACAACATCTCCGTACTCTGCGTAGGTGTGGTCATGCAGAAGGATGTGAACGTGTCCACGTGAGATTTCATGTGTTGGATCAAAAATTTTTTGACAGAATAATTTTATAAACTTTATTTCGATTTTGTATTTATATTACATTTACTCTTACTAATTATCATACTACTACCAGGCTGCCACTGCAATCGGATGTTAGTTGATTCAGTAAAAGTCTATGTTCTAACAAATTTCTCTTAGTGATGAATTTACCTTTGGTTTGAATGTTGAAAGAGTGATCACTTAATAGTGGCGAGATCTTTTCTCGTACTTGTTCAATTATCGAACTTTCGCTAAGCTTGATTCCTAGAAATTGATATAATATAATATTATAAGATATATTTGAAATTAATTCTGTACTTCTCAAAGTCCTTTAGAAAAATCTCTGACCCTTTATCACTTTTGCTTAATATTAGACAAATATTTTATAGGTTGTGCAACATGATTTTGTTATGCCCCAGAAATACCATTAAATTAAGAAATAGTATTAGGTAATTTCTCATTGACCTGGATAATATGACGACACGCGAAGTGGCAC